TGGTTGCCCTCATCGCAGAATAAGTTTTGGTACGGGTATGTACCCTGGTATGAGTATGTATCCTGGTATGAGTATTTATCCAGGCGGCAGTATGTATCCTAGTGGCGGTATGTATCCTGGTGGCGGTATGTATCCTGGTGGCAGTATGTATACTGGTGGCAGTATGTATCCAGATGGAGGTATATATACTGGCAGCGGATTATCGCATTCATGAGACATAAGGTCAAAATCGCTTTCATAGAAGTTCTGAAGAGCGTAACGTTCAGGCAACAGTAGTGAGCGCGGCTAAACTCTTTTGACTATGAAGCTTTGTAAAGTATAGAAGTTTTGTGCACCAAATTATGCAAATATAAATTCGCGGATTAAACTTGTTTCTTTGCATTTTGTTTCAAGGATAAATAATGATATAACAAATTTAAGAATTGTCGCTAGAAAACTTTACAATTTTTATGTGAAAGTTGTAAAAACCTTTGTCCACACGTACAATAAAAATAATTTTGAAAAGTGTATTATAAAATGCGACTGAAGCGTCCAGAAACTGTACCATGTGCATTTACTCATGACCAAAGAATCTATTTTTCCTGGAAGACTACACTTAACTAAACCAGATTAAATTTTGCAGCACAGAAACTCAGTAAAGCACTTTGTTCCGCTGCAATAATCATTTCCTACTAGCTTTCTAACACAACGTTTTCCTTCAATTATATCTTTTAATTTTCTGGTACCTATAACTATTGCTTTTCTCTATTCAAGCAGCAGATAAAATAATATCTTTTTTAGTAAATGATAATTCAGAAAGCGGCTAAGTTTAAACGAGACGTGAATTTTTTTTTATTGACAACTGAGTTTTACCTTTTGCAAACAAGAATTCTCCATTCTGCTCTCTCACTAAACAGCATTTTAGACTTGTCTGTATACAGCTTCTTTAATTTTTAGAATTTTAGAGTGAAACTTTACTTTAAACAATAGTTGTATAAATCCGTGCTTTAAATAAAAGTGTGCGATAAATATCGGGTATACTTTAAAGTTTAGGCTGATGCAGATAATACCAAAACGCCTTACAAAATTAAAAAAAAAGATTGCTCGTACACCGATTTTGCCGAGACAGTAAGAACTTAATAACTTATAATAAAAAATTTCGCCAACGTCAAGATTAAACACAGTTTAAAATGCCGGTTTTTCACTGCTACGAAACTTCTTACAGCAGCAAACAACTAATATTTTAAAGTTTTGATTAAGGTTTTATACAAAGTTTCGTTCTTATTTTCTCATGAAAATCAGAATTTTAACCGGATTTCACTGAAGTCAAAACAAATTGAAAAATTAAGCTTCCGCGTCTTAGCATGGGCAAAGCATAGAGCGCTTCAATATTCTTTTGTGCATCATGGTTATCGCTTGAATGCGTTCGTCAGCGCGTCAGGCGTAAAGTAAATGTACAATTCTACTAGCAACATTGGTGCGCCAGTTAAGTGTTTCAGCAAAGACTGTGAACAATCTAGGAAAAGGCGTTCTGTGCTAATTACGATTGTACAGTTGACCAATGTTGTTTTTGTTTAGCTCTGAAAGACTGTTTCACTCTGGAATACTGCAATCACAAATTTCTATGGAAAAAGAATTATCTGTTTGAATGACTAAATTATAAATATGTTCCATAGAGTGGTATACTTTTTAGAAGAGGTTTCTAAAAGAAGCTTTTCTCTCAAATAATTTGACAGGCTAACGCTTTCGCAACTTACTGCATTCGCGAAATACATGATGGTCCTATTAAATTTTGAACCTAGACTTTGCGGCCCGCTGTGACATCGATTACTAGATCATGACAAGATGTCATCACCGAGCATTTGAAACTTAGAAAGAACGATGAGCTATTATTATATAAATTGCGATGAAAATGAAAGGCGGAAACGTTATTAAAGAAAACGATACAATGATAAAAGGCTGCTCTTAACAACGGCATCTCATCGCAGTGCAAGTAATGCTTAGATGCTTAATTTTCAAAAAAATGGGCACAAGATGAAGCAGTCCGGTAGTGTGAAAGAAACAGAAGTTTCACAAAATTGTGAAAAAAACTGACACAAGTGATATAAAATGTAGTGGTATGCGGCGTGATAGTTCAGTTAAAGTTTGGCATGTAAATCTTGTTTAGTTTCTCGAGAGCTAATAAGCTTACACCTCCAACACTTTGCACGATAAGATTACGTGTTTCCCATTTCATTTTTCTGATTTAGGAAAATAATGTTGTCGCCAACTGCGAGTAAAGAATTCGAAATTGAACTATTTCATACTGAATAATCTCAATTTATATTTACTTAGTGGCGGAAAGATTGTAAAAGAAGCAAATTATTCAAATCTCAGCAGAGCATGGAAAATTTCGATACATGTAACTGTAATGCAGTGCATTCAGATTAGAAATCAGAAGTGCAGTTGCTAAAATCTCAAACAATGCCAATCAGTTAACAATTTGTCTTTCAAAGATACGAGGGTGTTAATGGTAACTTCTTTTCGACCGGCTCTGCCAAGCTTTCTTTGTCGCGCTGTACTACTATTCTAAAATGGTCCCTTTCAATGTCGTCTTCTTTACTTCTACATTAAAGCAAGTGGCTGGTCGGTGTATTATAGCTATTAGTCTATAAGACTACTAAATATGAATTTTTTCAGTAGAATTACTCAGTTACAAATTGTGTTCAATGTAGCAAAAAGTCACTTTCGTCTTCAATAAAAAACACATTTACCAAGTTTTATTTAAATTCGTTAAACCGTGTATCAGTAAAACTGCTCTATATCACCTCAGTCAGCGCAAGCGTAAACAATCTTCCAGTTGCAATAAAGACAAAAAACAACAACTTACTACGCTTTCAAACTCTAAATAAAGCTTTTGCATCATTTAAAGTTAAGATTTTGGGTAAAATTATAAAAATAAAAATATGAGCTAGAGTTTGCAAAGTAATAAAATTTTAGCAGTAGGTGAAATTTGTTAGTTCAACTTAGTGTAGAGTTAATAATGCTCAAACTAAATTTCTCAAGTAAAGATAAGAAGACAATTTTTTTGAATATAATCTAAACTTAGAAATAATTATACTGATAAATAAATAAAATTTAATTGGAGTTCACGAGAAAAAAAACAAATGCTCGCCTAGTTCTCGACAAAATTTGAGGTAATTTATAAGCAGATATCACGTGACAGCTTCAGCCCGTCATATATTAATCATTTACTCGATTTCTTTTAACTTACGAAAAAGAGGCAAACGCATAGCGTGAAAAGTAGTTTCTGCTTTAACAGTCTCATTTATGTTCTTTCTTTTTAAAATTAACCTTTGAAATTTAAGAATCATTTGATTAGTAAGGTTTGAAGTGAGTTTGTTGAATAATGTTGAAAATTACGGTCAATGTTACATTTTTTGACGTGAAAAAAAAAAAGTAGAATCTAAGCGTGTTTTTTGAGAGCTTTTAGTACTGTATTTTTGGTAAGCTTAGAGCAGTCGCATTTGCAAATATCTTCTTTTAAACATAAAATTTTCTTTGATTTTTATTCTATGATTACTTCATTGCCGTTTTCGCTCTTTCTTATAGTGCCTTAACTCGTTCTTTCTGTATGTTTTATACTTCAAACAAACTGTAGACTTTTCTTCATTTTTAAGTGTAGACTTCTACTGTAATTTAATTTTGAGATTTCTTTTGGAATTGCAGTTCATGGTCTCATCACCTTACATTACTGCTAAAAAATGTTTACAAATCAAAAAACTTTTAAAAAATTGTAAGAAAAAAATTCCCATTTTGAGCAGATATGCAACGTTAGGTGCGGCACGGTTTTCAGCGACTAAAAACATTTTTCTTGCTTTTGGCTGTGTCTAAATTGGAATGATTGAATGTAAAAAACACCTTTTATAATTAAGATTTTGCCTTCAAACATTATGTAAAAACCTTTTAAACAAGTAGTCGTTGGTAAATTGGAACTTTGCCGTGACTTATGATACAAAGCTTAAAAATGGCGTTTCCTGTTT